AGACCCAATACAGATAGACACACTGCCCCAATCAGGCAGACAGCAGGCAAACAGGCAGACTTAGAGAAGAGGCTGGCAGACAGACACAGACCCACAGCCAGAGACATGCTGGCAGGATTGTGCGGCCCAGGCGAGTCCCGGGCTCGGTTATTGACAGCTCCCATCAGTCCAGGCAGAGGTCCAGCAGGACAGTCAGGCAGGCAGGCCCGGAGCTCACAGCTCACCCAGGAGCTGCTCTCATCCTCCCCCAGCCTCATTATTATTCTGTTGGCCCTGTTTGGAACCGAGGGACTGATCCATTACTCACACACTGTCAAAGATACGGCAGAGAGAGAGCCTCACATCCCAATCTGCATGGAGAAGCCCGCACACACACACACGCAGGCAGGAACACACTCCCTCCTTCTCCCTCTCTTTCCTTCTTCCAAAAATATGCACACAGTCTCTCTCCATCGCTCTCTCTCAAACAGCGTCAAATACACACAGGCACACTTCCTCTACCGCCCGTTCTTTCTCCCAAAAACTCACCCACATACTCTCTCTACATATCTCTCTCTCTCGCTCTCTCAACATGAACACATTGTCAAACACACACAAGCAAGCACACACACTAGGGCCGGGACGATACCAGTATCGCGATACTCGTTAGTATCGTGGCAAGGAAACAAAACACAAAGCGGATTAAACTTGTGTTTTAATTTTTCCATGGAAAAAATATTGCGATACTGGTATCATCACAGCCCTAACACACACACACAAAAAATACACCTCCAGTGGCTTCTCAACATCCCAGGCTGGTTTGATATCAAACATCTCTACATTAAAATGCTTGTCAGCAACCTAAAACAAAACAGCTTTATCCTTCATCTCTATTGGCTACAATGTGTTTGAAGCCAGAATAACACTGATCAAGGACAGCTAAATGGGCTTTACATGCTCCAAACAAATGTATGCCACCATTCATATTATAAGGAGGCATATCAGTACCTCGCACATTCAGCACCACAGAGAATGTTTAGTAAAAAAGGTCACAGCGATCAGCTTGTATACTGTAATCTATGGAAATGTGTATTATGTTTTAGTACAACTAAAAGAACACGGCCAAGAGCATCGAGTAGCAGAGCAACAGTCAACAGTCTTAGTCACCTATAGGACGAAAGCAGGGAAATTAAAGGGCAATCTGGGATTCAAACAACAAAGTAGCCTCCCTGTCACTTTTCTTAGTAAACAGCTGAGACAAAAATAACATTTGGATATATGATGTTACAGCAATATGAATGCTCGCATACAGTGGCCCCTGGTAGAGACACAGCTCAGGCAATGTAACCAACCAAGTAGCAATATGGCAGCTTCCCGCTCTGTCCCACTACACCACGTGTCCAACTCATTCCATGGAGGGCCGAGTGTCTGTGGGTTTACGCTCCTCCCTTTGAACTTGATGGATTAATTAAGGTCAGTAATTAGTAAGGAACTCCCCTCACCTGGTTGTCAAGGTGTTAATTCAAAAGGAAAAACCAAACACCAGCAGACACTAGGCCCTCCATGGAATGACTTTGACACCCCTGCACTACACCAATACACTGTCAATTATAACTCATATACTTCGATTAGGTTCTTTAGTCAGCGATCAGAGTCTTAATGCAGTTCAGCAAAACACAGACATCTGTGACTGGAGCCAAGGAGTAAATCTATCTTCAGATGTGGAGTAGTAGTTATTTATAGGATTAAAGATGGCCGCCCAACGCTAGGCCCCTCAGAGTAGCTAGCCGAGCACCGTATGCTGTAGCGCTTCTGTATTTGGGGAATAACTGGGAGACCGGTTTCAACGGCATAAATCTGTATGACGAGGATTAGAGGAAGTACTACGAGATTTATGTTGAGGTGCTGCCGAATGTCTTTGGGACCGGGAAAGGGAGAGAATTCTGACTTGTGATATATTGACAGTGATATACTGTACTAGTGGACTATATTGTGATAAAGTATGTATCCCCTTTGAGAAGTTACGTTCATGTTATATGTGGCTAAAAGTAAAAGTGTGTGATTTAAGAGGGTGTCTTGGTTTATTGTCCACCTACAGGACTTGGGTTGTAAACTGGATGTGGATTCATTGCAGTGGTGCCAGTTGTTTCATCATAACCACTGGAGTGGAACCTATCATATTCAACCTTTAGTTGACCCTGCTGTACTGTAGCTTCCAATGTACACAGAGGATCGGTTTTCCTGCCTAGTCCTGCAGTAAAAATACTTCCAGTGGAGATTCTACATTAAGGACGCTTTTTAGTCCAGCACTAGGTTTAATCTGTGTCTGGGATACCGGCCCCTGTCCTCTGTAGCTCAATTAGTAGAGCATGGCACTTGTAACGCCAGGGTAGTGGGTTCGATCCCCGGGACCACCCATACGTAAATATGTATGCACGCGACTGTAAGTCGCTTTGGATAAAAGCGTCTGCTAAATGGCATATTATGAAGTGAAATAAATGCACATTTTCCTAAATGTATCTTTTAATGTGTATGTGATTAGTAAGTTTAGGCTACATATCTTTACTCTTATCTTCCACAATAACATAGTTGAACATTAGACTGGGATGAGTGTTTGTGGTCAAGAAAGAAACAGAATGTCCATCAATCTTTCTCAGAATGTACTGCAGTACCCTGTCGATGACATCACACGATGTGATGCCCAACATGGAAGAGCCTGTCCCTACTTCTTCACTGGTTTGTCAAGCGACCATGCCCCCTAGTGGTGTAATTGGTCAACAGCAAAACTGGCGCTGATAAATGACTATGCTTTTACATGGTGGTTCCGCTGAGTTCCTACCCATTGTTATACATGGTGGTTCCTCTTTCTAACCATTCTTTAACATGGTGGTTGCTCTCCCTACCCATTCTTTTCAACCAGAGGAACAGTGAGACAAAACAGAACAAAACAACATTAGACATCCAAGAACAATGCCATGCCCATAATTTATGGAATATGCCCAACTTAAAGATCACAGTAGAAGTAAATAAATTGGGAACTATGGAAAACAGACAGACATATAAAAGATTATAAAAGACGAAGGTGTTGAAGATTAATCATAACCGGAGTACTTCAGGCCATTTCCACCTGCCACATTTCCACTGCTCCTCAACAAGTTCAATTTGAGACTAATTATGATTATGGTCCTCAGCTTTTATAATAAATGGATTTCTATTTAAAATGTGTCAAAATTATATGAAAGGCTAATTTATTATGAGTGCAGGTAAGAAGTCTCTCCAAGCTACTGTGGCAAACAGTGACAAGAGAAGTGAAGTAGAGGCTTGAAGGCTGCGTTTACACAGGCAGCTCAATTCTGATCTTTTTTACACTAATTGGTCTTTGGTCCAATCGCATCAGATCGACCACAACTAAGGGTGTAGCATGCTACTGACAACAATGACTGCCATGGATGTCTCCCAGTTGCTTTGAATGTTCAAAATCATAGTGTTAGAACACTTTTAAAGCCTCATATGATAAGATGATCCAACTTTCAAACTAGTTCTTTTTGGCTAGCCACAGCGATCAACTAGCTACCTAGGTAGCTGTTAAGCTTTCTAGCACATTGACAAAATGTGTTTGTAAACAATTAACAAGCTAGCTAGTTAGCTACCACATCTTCCGGTAAAACTGTCAACCGACTAGCTAGCAAGCAAAAAGATATGCCAAATAAGTCTAAAAACCACTTGAGGGCAAATAAATCAGATTTGACTGTTCAGACAAGTCGCATGGCCTGGAATCCGATTTGTATCGGATTTCAAACCACATACGAAGGTGGTTTGAAATGGGATTTGAAATATCCGATTTCATATGATTTTTGGTTGTTCAGACTGCAGGAAAAATAAAAGGTTTGAATACGATATGCAAAAAAATTACAGACATACAGAAGATTATAAAAAAAAAAAAAAAGAGTACTTCAGGCCATTTCCACTGCTCCTCAACAAGTTCAATTTGAGACTAATTAACGCAGCTAATGTAGTACAAAAACCCTAAGTGCAATCAATTCTTCCATTTTTCTATAGACACTTACCCACTCAGTCCAAGCACACTTCCCATTCATTGACAACTGTCCCCTTTTCATCCAGATGACATGTTGCTCCAAATCTTCAAAGAAATTTACTGAAATGTGAGAGATTAGATTTTAATGTAAATCGCTGCCTGTTGAAGAGGGTTTTTCCTTTGTGGGTAAATGGAGAAACATCAAATTAAACGAGGGTGAGAGGGAGAGAATAGGGAACAGGTGAGGTAATCATTGATTGGAGAAGTGGTAGGCATTTGGACACTTCCTGAAACTGAAATAGAATGGCACAGTTTGGTACAACACACCACTTTGTGTGTATTTCTCATTCCTCTATAGCAATGTTGGTGGTCCAGAGTAGGCTGGTGGGAAGAGCTATAGGAGGACGGGCTCATTGTAATGGCTGGAATGGAATGGATGGTCAAACACAAATATATGGAAACCATTTGACTCCATTCCAATTTTTTCATTCCAGCCATTACAACGAGTCTGTCCTCCAGCTCCTCCCACCAGCCTCCTCAGTGGGAGGGACTTTCTGGCCGAAAATGTATTAACATATAAATTAGCATACTGTAGAGTGTAGGTGACGTGACAAATAGAAGACGCATAAAAAGGTTGTTTTTATTTAGTTTACTTTCAAATGGAAATGTTTCTCTTTTGATTCTTTAAAAAAAGATAAAGCATCAACGTTTTGCAGTTGGTCTCGAGACAGACAAAGCTGCAATGGGATGGTGAGAATGAAAGTATGGAAATGACAGTACAGGCACAGTTTTTCAATTCATGCTGGAATAGTTGGTGCAAATATATACAGCAAAGACTTTTATTCTCCTGGTAAAACATGCTTAGGACTTGTGTGTGAGAATTGGGCCCGTCTTCATGAAGCATCTCAGAGTAAGAGTGCTGAACTAGGATCAGTTTAGCCTTTAACAATGACTTTACAATATCATATGAACAGGGGAGACCTGATCCTAGACCAGGGCCCAGTTTCCCAAAAGTATCTGAAGGCTAAGTTAATCGTTAGAACCGTAGGATCGTTTGGGAAACTGGGCCCTGCACTCCTACTCAGACACTTTGTTAATAGGGTCCCTGGAAAGTTAGTAAAGCGAATAGTCATCATGAAAAACACAATTCTGAAGTCTTTTCTTTTTAGGTAAAACATCACAATTACTCACTATTTACAAAAAGACATCAAGTAAAGTAGATCGTAAGGCATACATACATCAGATCCCAGACGGTTTACGTGTAAATCCATTTGAAATAAATTAAAACCTAAGAGAGAATTAAATTGACGCGCCAGTCAATAAGGGAATTGATCATCACAATAATAAACTCCTGAAGCAAATTGACTGGCGTTCGTTAAGAAGGCATTTTAAACAGCACTTTGTTCTATACCCATCAAATCTTTTGTCTGTTTATAGATTATTACTCGGACATCTATCGTTGAGATAACTCAAAATAAATTAGAAATGGAAATAGATGTTATTAGTATTTTAATGAGTACCTGATTTCTCTCGTCTATAAACCTAAGGTTGACACCTTTGCATAACTCACAGAAAGTGTCGGGGAGCTTCCCGTTAAAAAGCTGTCACAGTTGATTCTGTCATTTCATATCATATCACATGTCCCGATACCATCTCGGAGAGCGTATAGAATTCTACCCTGCAGAATTACCACACACCATATATAGTGTTGAATAAAGGACACTTTCCGTTTATATACATAACACTTTTGTACACAGTCTTTTTGTTTTGCAAATATGAAGCATTTCCTCTTCCACGAAAATCTAAAATAGTAAGAAAATCATTTCTCAGTCGTTTAAATGACGTTGTTTCAGTGAATCCAAACCTTTGATTGAGCACTTGGTCAGTTGCGTTTCATAAAAAGTAACTCGCATTCTATTTTCTTGCATTCACAACAAGTTTTTCACTAAGAAAACCTGGTTCTCTCTCTTACAATGTTTTGGATAATATTTGACCTGTACAAGAGAAAATGGCCCAATTTCCTACCAGCAAAACTAGGCAACCTTGGCAGTAAAGTATTAAGTAGACACTAAGCATTCTGATTCTGAAAGAGAGATGACTCATTCTCTCCCAAAACAGACTCCAGACAGTGCCCTACAGTGTTGTGATTTAATCATAAAGGAAATGTTTTCTTTAAGTCTTCTCCTGGTCATTCTCCAACCAACTGAAATCCACCATAAGAGGCAGTAAGTGTTCCAGACTCCAAGTCTTTGTCAATGTGGTAATGTCTTTACAGAGTCCCCATTCGGGCAGGTGAGGACTGATACATCAATCAATCCTTCTACTTGCTTCCATACTGCATACAGCTTATTCCTGGCACATACCCCCTGTCTGCCACAGAGGGGCGCTGTGCTGTCGCTCTTCTGTCCTCAGACTGACTGATAGCAGGGTAAACTAAAGACAGTTCAGCAGCCCTGGAGGTCTGCCTGCCCCTTCGCGTCGGCACTGGGAGTCTGGAGGAGGGGAAGGCCGAGCCTGGGCTTGGAGTAATGTCTGTGGCCCAGCGGTGTGGGGCTGTAGCTGGGTGAGCTGGGGTCACTTGGGCCCTTTGGTGGAGGTGTCTGTCTCTGTGGACTGGCGTCCGTCGTTCCAGGCCTCCCGGGTGCTCTTGAGGGCCTGCGTCCGCTGCTGGTCCACCACTACGTAGTCCACCCGCTCATCTGACACCGCCAGACCAATCCCATTACTCTTCTTCTGGAGAGGAACACACAGGTCAGTTTCAATAGTGTAAGTGTGAGTGTGAGAGTGACCGTGAGCATGAGAGCGTGAGCGAGAGATCGGTCTCACCTTCCGTGGTGGGGTGGACTTGCCGGGGTCCAGGTCTAGGTCCAGGTACTCCACCTGCTTGTCTCCTTTGGGCTTCACCATTGGGCTGCTCCCCCCGTCCGCCGTCATGGGCGCACCCCGCTTCATGTTCTAATCAACAAGGGAGATACCATGTTACAGTGTAGATAGGGGGAAGATGACAAACTCACAGAGCATGATTAAATGTTAGTGCTACACTCTAGGAGTGGGCAAGAGGAGTAGTAGTACAGCTACAATGGAGACAGAACTAGAACAGATACTATCATCATAAACACATTGAGGTATTATGCAAACCTCAAGTCACGTCAGCATGTACACTACCACTACAGACGGTGTCTGAAATCTTAGTGGGTTTTGGGGGGAAATAACAGCATAACCCACGCCATGCAGTGAGAGCATAGGCTCTATGGGCATCTCCGGTTAGGCTCCAAACTGGCAACCCAGGCAGCTTGTCTAACCAAACTTGGCAACCCGTCTCACCTCCTCTACGGTGTCAAGGCCCTCCATCTCCCTCTTAACAGGGGTGATGGGGACAGTGCAGTAGAAGGACTCCTCTCTACAGAGACAGCAGGGAAAGGTCAGAGGTCAAACAATAATACAGGAGGAACTGAGGAGATGAAGAAGAGGAGGAAAAGGGGGACTAGGAAAAATATCAATGAGTGATAAAGCAACAGGACGTAAACATTAGGTCAAGGCGAAGAAAGGATAAGGGAAAACATCTCAATAAACGGTCAAAAAGACTAAGACAACAACAGAATGGAAAACATGCAATCAAGCAGGAAATGACCCATTTTGTTGTTGGTGAAGTTAATCAGTCAATTTAGTATAGTTAAGATCATTTCCTTTAGGAGAGAACGGAACAACGTTAAACAGTGATCGTGTTGTTCAATGTATGGCTCCCCAAGGGGGAAATGTATTTAGGACATTTTTGCTATATTCAGACAGATTAGAAACAGCGGGAAGACGAAACAGCGTGGAGACAAATTAGGAGGAGACAAAGTGGGAAAGACAGAGATCAAACCCTGGTGCCTAGACCACCAGATCATGGAGCCTGCGCAAGGGAAAATCATTTATATCTGACCAGTCAACAAAAAGGGTCCTTGAGAATTGATGGAAGAAAAAGAACATGAGTTAGAAGAATATAAGAAGATGCAAAGAGGAGATCTCCATCAGATGGACTGAATACCTGCAGGGGGAAAAGAGTGAAAGCGCAAATGAAAAAGACAAAAAAGCAGGATGACAAGTGGTTGAAGGGGGGGGGGGGGGGGGGGGGGGTGAAGAAAGAAGAAGTGTCGAGGAGGAGTCCTTCTGTGGCAACCATCGATTTCTCCATAAAAGATGAGGCTGGGAGGCCAAGGAGGATGATAACGGACTGACTTTTTACTAGGTATACTATACTAACATGGGATATCAGAAACAGAAAATGTGGACTCATCATTTCAATATCATCATACACTAACAAAAAACAGTATTTGAAGTGAAGTCAAACTATACTATATACACAAAAGTATGTGGACACCCCTTCAAATTAGTGGATTCGGCTATTTCAGCCACAACCGTTGCTGACAGGTGTATAAAATCGAGCGCACAGCCATGTAATCTCCATAGACAAACATTGGCAGTAGAATGGCCTTAATGAAGAGCTCAGTGACTTTCAATGTAGCACCGTCATAGGATGCCACCTTTCTAACAAGTCAGTTCGTCAAATTTCTGCCCTGCTAGAGCTGCCCCGGTCAACTGTAAGTGCTGTTATTGTGAAGTGGAAATGTCTAGGAGCACCAACGGCTCAGCTGCGAAGTGGTAGGCCACAAGCTCACAGAACGGGACAGCCGAGTGCTGAAGTGCTTAGGGTGTAAAAATCGTCTGTCCTCGGTTGCAACACTACCGAGTTCCAAACTGCGTCTGGAAGCAATGCCAGCACAAGAACTGTTCGTCGGGAGCTTCATGAAATGGATTTCCATGGCCGAGCAGCCAAACACAAGCCTAAGATTACCATGCGCAATGCCAAGCGGGGGCTGGAGTGGTGTAAAGCTCACCGCCATTGGACTCTGGAGTAGTGGAAACACGTTCTCTGGCGTGATGAATCACGCGTAACCATCTGGCAGTCCGGTGAACAAATCTGGGTTTGGCGGACGCCAGGAGAACGCTACTTGCCCCAACTGGGTGCGCCCAGTGCCAACTGTAAAGTTTGTGAAGGAAGAATAATGGTCTGGGGCTGTTTATCATGGTTTATCATGGTTCGGGCTAGTTCCCTTAGTTCCAGTGAAGGGAAATCTTAACGCTACAGCATACAATGACATTCTAGACGATTCTGTGCTTCCATCTTTGTGGCAACAGTTTGGGGAAGGCCCTTTCCTGTTTCAGCATGACAATGCCCCCGTGCACAAAGCGAGGTCCATACAGAAATGGTTTGTCGAGATTGGTGTGGAAGAACTTGACTGGCCTGCACAGGGCCCTGACCTCAACCCCATCGAACACCTTTGGGATGAATTGGAACGCCGACTGCGAGCCAGGCCTAATCGTCCAACATCAGTGACCGACCTCACTAATGCTCTTGTGGCTGAATGGAAGCAAGTCCCCACAGCAATGTTCCAACATCTAGTGGTAAGCCTTCCCAGAAGAGTGGAGGCTGTTATAGCAGCAAAGGGGGGACCAACTCCATATTAATGCCCATGATTTTGGAATGAGATATTCGAAGAGCAGGTGTCCACATACCTTTGGTCATGTAGTATATTTAAATTATTCTGAATACTGATGTTCTATGGATATTCAGCACACTAAGATATGCCATTAGACGAATTACATTACAAATGGTGCACTTTGCCATGAATAAAAAAGTTTTAATTGAATTGTAATAAATTCATTGGCTACTGACTGTGGAACATTAGCTTATTAATGTGACAAGTTTTTAGAAAATGTACATAAATCATTGTATCATTTAAAATTAATATTTTAGAAGAGAGTAGTTGAGGACGTGTGTTACATACTAGTTCATCTGCCTTAGAGACCATGGCTACATAATTCTCATCACAGTCCTCGGAGTCGGTGCTGGAGGCGGTGCTATGCACCGAGGGAGGCCTGGGAGGCATGGGGAACCTGGAGGGACTGAGCAGCACCACACACACACCGTTTAACACACCGTCTGTACACACACACACACAGCAGCAGCGCTGCATGGGAGCCTGCAGAGTTCCCTGCAGATTAAAAATGACTCACTGGAAAAATACAAATAATGCACATTTCTAAGACATACATGTATGACTACTTTGACATGTTATGAGGTGACTAAAGTACTGCGTGGAGGGTTAGTGTTCTGATATAATACCAAACCTATAGTCACATGCGGTAGAAAGGAATTAAACTAAGTTGACACTGACCTAAGGTCCGTTTTATGTTTTACTCCCAAATGGTTAGGATGCGGTGAGTGACACTAATCCTAGATCTGTGCATAAGGGCAACTTTGACCCTGAGCTGCTGTAGAGGCGAAAGGTCAAAGGGTAAGACACTTACTCCCGAGCGAATGACCTGGTGACAGGCGAGCGGACGGGCGCCGATGAATCCTCCCACTCAGGTAGGGGCTTGATCTCCAAAGGGGCGGGCTTGGCTGTAGAGGGGAGGGGCAAACACCACCGTCAATCTCTCTCATCACATACCATCATCGCAACACAATACATTACATTATACAGAAAGTAATGCTTTCATTTGGCCAACAGAGGTCCCTATAAGCCACAATACCTCCTTCCAAGACTAAAACTGTAGGCTAAATTCCAACATGAGAAGTTCAGCGTAATACAAAAATGTAATCAATTGCCTATAGGTTTATAGAGTATGTCCACAGCCAACCGTTCACGCATGGTTAACGTAACAGAGCCCAATCTGGCAACCCGGGTGCTATAGAAACACATTCAGCATAGCTCCCTCGGCCTGGTTAGTAAACACCATCTGGTGCTGCAGTCTACAGGACAGCAGCACTTACACTTCTCAGCCTACAGTACAGCACTAAACAGACTTCGCAGACATCTAAAAACCCTTCATGCAAACCGGGGATGTATGTGTGTGTGTATATATATATTATTACATGTCGAAACAGGAGCATGCCAAAAAGTGTTAAAAATACAAGAGTGAATTGGTTAGAACAGTCCATCACTGGTGTGTGTCGGCAACCTAAGAAACAACTATTGTACTGGTGTTATACATTAATACTATTGATTACTTTGACTGTGAACAAGGGAGAGGGCTTGAGATGTGGTTGTTGGTGAGGTACACTGACAACGTTTTCCTATGTAGTGGAGCTCTTTCACTAGACAACACAATAACATTCCTGAGATATGATCTCTCCTCCATTTCCTGAAGAAGCCTAGAAGATATTAGGGTGTTGGTGTGGTTCAAAAACGTGTAATGAGAACAAAATGTTAAATTAGAAACACAACAGAACAGGAGTTAGTTGACTGGATGAGACCGGACACCACATGTGATGTCACAGGTCACAGGTGAACATTCAGAAGCATGCGTTGAGTTCAGACAGGTTCAGAGAGAATGAGAGATGAGTATTCAGAACCAAGTTTCAGGCGTCGTTGTTTGGTAATACCTACCCTTGCGTCGTCTTGGGAACTCCCCTACGGTCTGAGAGTCGGTTCGCTCTAAACCAACACCCTTTGCTCTTATTATTTTAGGACTCTGACCTGATTGGTTAAAAAAGAAGACTTTTCACATTACCATCATTGATAAACGATGACATCATTGTAACACCTATTTTAATAAAAACCTGCCATGCAAAGCCGACGGATCAACAGACTGTTGAGAGACAACTCACTACTTCCACCCTACCATTCCTTCGTCCCTATTGGTGTATATACAGTATAGACAGGACTATCTCCATGGCAACAGCAGACCCCGACATTTCCCATCATGCACCTCACTCCACGCAACATGGTTGTGACTAGAGGGAGTACAGCTACGACCGGAAGTAACTTTTCATAGCAGGTTAGGAGGGCATTTTAGCTAACCCTAACCCTTTCCCTAACCTTAACCTATGTCTCCTAACCTGCTATGTTAATTATCCTAACCTGCTGGGTCAATTCTCCTAACCTGCTACGAAAAAGTAACTTCCGGTCGTAGCTGTACTCCCTCTAGTCAGAACCCTGCAACATGGTTGGCCTCAGAGACTTGACAAGACAACAACATGCACTAGTATGAGCGTGGAAGATCCACTGAGAGAAGAGAGTCATTTTGAGGGCAACAACACATCCACAACAGCAGACGCAAATAAAGGCGCACATTTATCTGTACACCAGCACACTGAAGTGGTCCGCTGTAGCTCAGTTGGTAGAGCATGGCGCTTGCAACGCCAGGGTTGTGGGTTTGTTTCCCACGGGGGGCCAGTATGAAAATGTATGCACTCTAACTGTAAGTCGCTCTGGATAAGAGCGTCTGCTAAATGACTAAAATGTAAAAAATGTAAGTGAAGTCATAACCTTATGTATAATCCTCACAACAGCCATAAAACACAGCATACCCCAGCTAAAACCATGGCAGACATTTGCAATTGAACCCCATAACAAAGCCATAATGAAGGAAAGTGAATAAATGAAGCTACTTGTCGGCTTCGACCACAGATGCTTCAGCCTCACAAGACCTCACCCACAGAACAAAACCAAGCAAGAGAGGCCCAATCCCACATTGACCCCTAGACCCTATTCACTATGCACTTGTGGAGATCTGAGAGGAATTGATTTGTTAAAGCAATATGGTCAAACTTCCACCAAGTGCATAGGGTCTAGCGGTCGATATGATTTGGGATTGGACCAAAGACTTTGAGCCAGAGAAAAGGCTAGAGAGAGTAACCCTGAAGCCAACAGTACACAACAGCCCTACATGCACACACAGTCGGGACAACAGAGGTCCCAAACTCAGCAGATGGACAGCAGTTGTGGTTCGGTGAGGAGAGAGATTGCATTGAGATGGAATGGCCCATGGTTATGAAACACTCAAGTTAAAAACCTAACTGTAGGCCTATACCTTCGTCATCATAATGACCCCATGACTACAGTACCATTCCAGTCTAACATGTCCTCACACTGAACCATTCACATTCAGCATCCCATTGTGACACCACGGTAGATGCTGGAATGAAAACAACCAAGAGTCATTGATCTGAATGTTAAAGCTCTAAGCCATGAATAGAGAGCAACTGACTTTAGATTTTCTAACAACTTTCCTGACATGGATTCCTCCTTTCTTCTCCACCATTGACAGTGACTGGTAATGACCTCTGCTTTGGGTCTGCCTCCCCTGTGGGATATTCAAATCCTCCCCGCTCTAGATTGAAATGTCCCATGGTGGATCTGGAGGGGGTTGTTGCTCCATCAAAGAGGCCCTTTCAGAGGGGGGGACAATGGGGACAGCGGTGACCGCTCTGGCCGCTCCATGGTGATGGTGGCCCAGGCCGGTCCCCCCCCAAAGCCCCAGAGAGGGCCCCCTGAACTCTGGGACAAAAGTCCCTTTGACTGGGGTGAGAGGGAGAGAAGATGAGGGGGAGAGCGGGCTAAACTAAAAGAGCAGGCTGAGAGGAGGGTGGATGGGGTGGAGGATGGGGCCTTGTCAAGGACTGACTGAGGAGAGCGCTCTAGAACACTGACTACATTGAGCAGAGAGATCTAGAACACTGCCTACATAGAGAGAGATCTAGAACACTGCCTACATAGAGAGAGATCTAGAACACTGCCTACATAGAGAGAGATCTAGAACACTGCCTACATAGAGAGATCTAAAACACTGCCTACAGAGAGATCTAGAACACTGCCTACATAGAGAGATCTAGAACACTGCCTACATAGAGAGATCTAGAACACTGCCTACATAGAGAGATCTAGAACACTGCCTACATAGAGAGATTTAGAACACTGCCTACATAGAGAGATCTAGAACACTGCCTACATAGAGGAGAGGAAGGGTGAGCCACAACATTCTGCACTACTGTCTGATGCCATACAGGAATTGTATAATGATGACAAATGAACGTGTTCTACTTCAAAATAATGAAATTGTAATCTGTCTTTCATAACCATGAGCCAAGCACATGTAATGGGAGTGAGTTAGAGTTGAATGCCAGGATGTAGAGAGAAGCAGTTGTGAAAACGTTGATGCAACAACAGATAAAAGACAAACGTACCAAGATTCTCTCTCAAGATTCTCTCTCATTCAAAGACACACACCCCCTTCCCCTTCTCCACAGCCACACCACCTCACCCCCCAGCCATCCACCCTGCCCCTCTCCTCCCTCACCTTTGCGGTCCGGTTTGAGGTTGCGGTCCACGGGCGGGGGCTGACAATCGCTGATGAGCATGGGCCTGCGGGGTGGGGTCTTGGGGCTTGAGCGAAACCCCATGTGGGCCGGCGGGGGAACCTGCTTGCCCAGGGAGAACTCTAACGTGCCCGGGCCCGGGGTCATGGGTACATAGTTGGGTTCCATGATGGGTTCACAGCCCGACAGGCTGCCGGAGCGGTGGTGGGACGGGGAGTTGGCGTTCATGGGTACGTAGTTCTGGTCAACTTCCTCCATGGACTGGCTGCCCACTGGCATCATGCCTTTGTTTTTCTGAAGGGGAGGGGGGGCAGAGAGAGAGGTAGGCTACATAAGAGCACAGACAGACACAAGACAAAAACACGTACACACACGTGAAAAGAAGTGAGAGCATACAAGCTTCCCTTATCTTAATCTGCACCTTAGTGCACTACAAACAACGCAACTATCATAATAGCCCAATACTTCAGTATCAATGTGAGAGGTCCTTTAAGTCCATCGTTTTAATCTGATTGATGAGCATGTCGTGTAAAGACTTACCAAGTAGCTGTTGAAGCTTTCGTTGAAGTCAAACGAGCAGCTCTTGTCAGAGGGAAACGACCTGGGGATATCGTAACAGTCCTGGGACACAAGATCTGCAACAAACATTACAGAGCATTTAAAAACAGTGTAAACACACCATACCTACACTATAGTAGTCTAGATAGGGCCTACAGCAATATGAATCAAAATGGTGTTAAATACTCAATTAAAACTGAATACAAATGCACCATTGAAACCACAGTAAGTGGTGAACAGGGATATGTGAAGTCTGTCTGTCTGTCATCTCGGCAGCTGGACTATAGTTGCTGCTCTTGCTCTGATCATCATGTGTAACGTCACACCAATGCATTTCAGGAGGAGTTGAGACAAACAGGATGATAGGACTTGGAAGGTGGCCATACTCTACAGCCAAGGCAAGCAAAGCCTACTCTGGTACACATACGACTAGACAAACGGGGAATCCCGGGGCATTTGCTAAATGCCCTCGTGTTAGTTCAACAGACCTGTTTCATGTTAAATGTAATGAACAGACTTGGACCGGATGTAGCTGGGCATAATGTTTTATCTTGAACTTCAACCTCAGATGCTCTTTTGGTTGTGTAAATGATTGTCCTTTAAGAACAAAAATCGTATTATTATATATTTATTTGGGGGGGGTGTTGACAAAAGTGTTATTACCAGTGGCCACCACCAGAGGGGGTGATGAGGAGAAGGACTCAGTGTTGTTTCTCTGCTGCTAGTAGAGAAAAGAGGTTGGGAGCATTCACTGTATAGAGGTTGGGACTGAGGCGCCAAACTGCTTTCTCCTAAACTCTGAAGTACGTGTTGTCTGTCTGCATGGTAACTGAACACCACTAATTCTGCTTGCTACACCAGATGTCCTTGGAGGCAAGGCAATCTTCGGCTGTGAAAAGGTTTTTGTAATTAGCTATTCAAAAACACATCTGTCGCGTCAAGAAAATTATCTTGGAGGATTAGACGCTTGCTTTGCTTTGTCTGAACACAGCACACACCAGCCATGTGTTGTTATGAACATACTGTCGTTGTTAGCTAGTGTATTTAGCCTTTATAATGATGCACACAGTATGTTAGCCTAAGCGTTAGCCTATATCACTTAGCATCATGATAAGTAGTGACAGGATGTGGTACCCTATATCACTTAGCATCATGATAAGTAGTGACAGGATGTGGTACAGGATGTGGTACAGGATGTCACTTAGCATCATGATAAGTAGTGACAGGATGTGGTACCCTATATCACTTAGCATCATGATAAGTAGTGACAGGATGTGGTACCCTATATCACTTAGCCTCATGATAAGTAGTGACAGGATGTGGTACCCTATATCACTTAGCCTCATGATAAGTAGTGACAGGATGTGGTACCCTATATCACTTAGCATCATGATAAGTAGTGACAGGATGTGGTACCCTATATCACTTAGCATCATGATAAGTAGTGACAGGATGTGGTACCCTATATCACTTAGCCTCATGATAAGTAGTGACAGGATGTGGTACCCTATATCACTTAGCCTCATGATAAGTAGTGACAGGATGTGGTACCCTATATCACTTAGCATCATGATAAGTAGTGACAGGATGTGGTACCCTATATCACTTAGCATCATGATAAGTAGTGACAGGATGTGGTACCCTATATCACTTAGCATCATGATAAGTAGTGACAGGATGTGGTACCCTACGTCCCTTAGCAAAAAGTGAGAGTGAAATGAAATGCGTTCAATTATATCTCTGTTTTTCATTTATTTGACAGGACTAATAAGGGTCAATCAATCCACCAATGAATCAAGATCAATCGATGAGCCGTACCTTTCCTGAGGCGTGATGAGTCCATGGTGCCGATGGTGTTGCTCCGCAGGGCCTTGCTCCCGGCGCTGGTGGGCACGCAGTAGTTCCCGTCCGTCTCCGACATCGAGCGCGGCACGCAGTACGTGTCCGTGGGCGAGCGCTCCGCGGGGGGCGGCGGGTGCCCCGAGGTCAGGGAGTTGAGTGAAGGCTTGGGGGGCCGGGGGGGAGGCATCACGTCACCACCCTCAGACCCACCACTTGGTGGACCTCGAGGCACCTGATAGGTACAGTTACTGCCTGGTGTGGGAGGAATATCGTAGCTAACCGACAGGTTCCTCATTTGAGTCTCCATGGAGGGCTTCCGCGAGGGCGTGTTGAAGACGTAGAGCTCCGGGGCGTCGCCGTCGACTGGGATGGGGGGCGAGGAGGTGGAGGCCGACTTGGGGAGGAGCACGGTGTCCTGGGAATAGGAGCGGGGGAGTTGGTAGAGGCCAGAGGAGAGGTCGGTGGAGAGGGAGGCGCCGCGGGAGGGCGGGGAGTCGTAGATGGAGGAGGCGGAGGCGGGGTGAGGGGGCGGGACAGAGAAGAAGAAGCCGTTGGCGTGCTTGGAGGAGGAGGAGCTAGTGGAGGTTGGCGTGCGGTGGGCAGGGACGTTGTCGTTCAGGTCCGTCTCCGACGAGGTCGACTTGGAACACTCTGCGTGGGCTCTATGACAACGGCAAGGAGACAGATAACATCAGGAGGCTGAATGGTGTGTGAACATCTCACACACATACACCTCAACACAGATTAGTGATACGAGTTACATCAACACATCCATTCCAGTTAAGTCACAATACCACCAATAACTACTATTGAGGTCCATTGGATCTGTTGTTGAGTAGATCTTATTGAGTTGTAGGCTCAGTATAATGATCTATGTTTCATCCTGTGGTTAATTTCAAAACATGCAGGGTCAAACACAGCACTGTCCTTTGCCAAAGGTCCATTGACATATTAAGCCATTCTGGATCATTCCTCATTTCCCTGACTGAGAACAGCCAGGAGCTAAATTTTGGATTAATGGAACACTTCTCAAACACATCAAACCCAGAGGTAAGTGCTGGATTAGTTTTGTGTCTATTTACAATGTGTGAGTGTGTATTTGTGTGCATGTCCACATGTATATGTGCATGTTTATGAACCTGTGTGTGACTGTTTGCACACGTGTGTGTGTGTGTGTGTGTGTGTGTGTGTGTGTGTGTGTGTGTGTCACTCCACACTAGACAGGCTGCTCCAGACTCACTGATTAACCTGGGGAGGAGAAGGAGCCCCTTTGCTCTCACACTCCCCCAGAAGGAGGTACTCCTGGTCCCCCTCGGAGGGGGGAAGAGGAGTAGGAGGGAGAGGAGTCACAGAGCTACATCACCACACACAGAGAGGAGGAGGAGGAGAGAGTTAGATAGAGAACCACATCAACAAGAGAGGAGAGGCACTGAAATATGGACAACATATAGAGACAGTACAAGAGACCTAATAAAGCACACCACAGAGGAAAGTAACCAGAGAGAGAGAGAGGCGGGGAGAGAGAGAGAGAGGCGGGGAGAGAGAGAGAGAGGCAGGGAGAGAGAGAGAGAGAGAGAGAGGGGCAAGGAGAGAGAGAGAGAGGCGAGGAGAGGAGAGAGAGTGGGGCGAGGAGAGAGAGGCGAGGAGAGATGGGCTAAAGACGCCATACTAAATAAAAAGTGTGACACAAACCTAAAGTATATAATAACAGGAGACTAGATGGAGACCAGAGGGAGACCAGAGGGAGACTAGAGGGAGACCAGAGGGAGACCAGAGGGAGACTAGATGGAGACCAGATGGAGACTAGAGGGAGACTAGAGGGAGACTAGATGGAGACCAGATGGAGACTAGATGTCAGAGAAACACAGCGGGAAATGTCACAACACCTCTCCACTCTGTACCAATGGCAGCGGTGCACTGTCATATCATGGACTCCACACCCACCTGTTGGGCTCTGGCTTCTTGCTCTCACAGTTGACCAGCCACAGGTAGTCCTGGGGTTCATCCAGGCTGGACTCTGAGTCCAAGTGGCGCACGCTGACTGGCTGGTAGGGAGGGGGCACGTTGGTCAGCATGGCCGGAGGACCCCCCAGCACGCCCAACCCCGGGTGAGGGGGTGTGTCCACCACTGAGCCACCGCTGCCCGCCTGGTGGGCAGCCTTCGCCGCTTCTGTGGGGAAGAAAGAGGAGGGGAGATGGAGGGAGAAGAGGGGACACCATCAGAACAACACCGGAGTTTTCATGCACGACAGTTATTAACGAAACGTACATGTTCTATAGTGATAATATTGTAGGTGTTTGTACGGTTATATTTCTGACTTGTTTGTGTACATAAATCAGTAGTACGTTCTATAAAAGCACTACAGAGCTGTGGGAAATGGATACCGAGTTGAACACATGACAGAGATACTGCAAGATGACATCCAGTACAAACAGGTCATGAGTCAGACTTGAAGGACAAACACTGTACGTACACTGGCATGCATGCACTTTCCCTCCCTCCCACACACACACACACGTGTATGTCTGTGAACCACGCAATAACCTTTCAAATCTTCACAATCAATTATTAACGCATGAGAAATACAACTATTTTATAACATTTATATAAGAATTTATAACAAAAAGGGGAAATCTAGGGAAACATAAAAAAAAAAAAAATGCTTCCTTTCTTCCAATAGCTATTGTATCTGCCAATGTTATTCAACCCATTAATACTGAGCTGTATTCCATCCAAATCTATGTTTTGCCTTTTGAATCCCAACCACTGCCAGACAGCGTTTCATCAAGGTCTCTGCCTTGTCCGTCTCCATGTAGGCCTGTGTGGTGACGACTGTGCTTGGTTGTGCTCTATTCACAACCTACTCTCCGGCTGCATTGCTCCCCGCCTACACTCCTCAGTGTGTACGCACATACACACCCAACCACCAACAGAGAGATCTTTGAGTGGCTCCCTAAGTGCTCGAACTGAAGGATGCGCACCCTGAGACGACAGCTGCTCTCTGAATCTTTCCTCCATCCATCCCTCTCTTCCTCCCCTCCTACTCCCTCCTCCACTGTTTTATCTTGTGCACCCTCTCCCTCAATCGCTCCCCAATCAGTCACTATTCTCCTGCTTTATCCTGTGCACTCTCCTCCTTCCCCCCCAATCACACCCTATACATTGCATCACTTAATCTCTCCGTCTCTTCTCCCCAGCCCCCTCTCTCACTACTATCCTGCTTTATCCACTGTATCACTCACTCTCTCCATCCCTCCACCTCCTTGTTTGTCTGTCTTATGTGCTGATTCACCCAGGCAGCGGGAAAAACCCTTTCCTCCTTAATCTCCCCCTCCCACACCGGTGGTTTACAGCCCTGCTGCTCCAGCACTCCAGCACCCCCCCCCCCCTGCTGACATTTCCCCAGCCACAGTGCACCCTCGCCTGGGCGCGGGAGTGGGCTGAACTGTCCCCTCTTTTGTTTGTGCTGTATGATCAGCAAGACTTTGTGAGGCACAGACAGAAGTAGCCAAGGCCTCTCTGCAATTTGAGAGTCACACCGCTCAACCACAGCAAATCTGCATGGCCATTATGACAGACAAACTCGCTGCTTGGATCCATAATAAACTCAACATTTCAAAAATGGCCCATAGATAAGCGATATGTTGTGGTTGAAGTTGCACTATAACAGGGAGGGTAGAATACAGCCACAACACTGAGGAAGGAGTGAAGCTGACCTTGTGGTTTGATACGTGGTCTCCCTGTTGTCAAAGATGTACTGGGTACTGCTGATATCATAATCCAGGACATTCCAGGGACTCTAAATGGTTCCCTAATATTCGGATTAAACCCACATGCATTACAATAGTGAGTTCAGATTGTAGGGTCCATTTCCGGTTCCACACCAGTGTAAGCAGTGTAAGCCATAGCCATTAGCCAGGCAACAACTCAACCAGGGCCTAAAATTAAAACACCCGCCACTTTGGCATTAGCGGGTAAGATGTCTATTTCACCAGCCACGTTGGCGGGTGGTCAGGGCTCCATAGGGCGAGCATTTCACTCGCATTTGTGAATACAAATATTCAAGTATGATCACATTTATAGTAAAATAAATGCTCCAGTAGCTGTTTTCAAAGAATTTCTGCAGTTTTGTTTGATAGCTGGTAAATTAAATCGCACAAAGTCAAAGAACTACGAATCCTACATAGCCTATCCCACCTCGCATTGCAACACTGCCTGGCTGGGGGCTGTCGCACATGAAGAGTGAAAGATTCATTTTTAGAAGCGCTGTGCACAGGCATAAACGTTGGTCTAATTTACAGAAAAACGAAATTCTACTGACGTGAGACTTTGTCCTTGTGTTTCTTGGCTACTTACATTGTTTTGTTCACAAGCTAGGTTGTTTTTCTATGTTTGCATTTCAACTGCTAGGGAAGAGAAGACAAGGCTTGTACTAGTCAGACTCAATCTCACAGGCACAAACATGACTGGAGTCACGTTACCACGGTAACCTCACGCCCTTAAAGGGACAGGTGAAATGTTTTGTCTCATCTGTGATATTTTGGATAAAATTTCAATTAATATACCACATTACTTCTTCTTAGTAATAAATGTATTGTTTTAGAAATATTACAAAGCACGCTCATCATTTTAGCCCCCCCAAATATTTTTGGCTGGTAAAAAATCTGAGTGGCTGGTAGATTTTTAAATCTACCTGCCACAGTGGCTAGTGGACCAAAAAGTTAATTTTAGGCCTTGAACTCAACAGTACCTCCCATGTCAGCTGAGAGGGAAGTTCAGATCCGGAGGCCCCTGTATGTGGCCCCCACTGATGATGGTGGGAAGAAAGAGCAGGAAGTAGAACTCTAAATAAACCACCATTCTGGTTTGGTGGGCCCCACTCACTCGCTTTTCCCCTGAGTAAGCGAGCGAGCACGAGAAAGAACGAAAGAACGAATGTGAGCGAGAGGGAGAACAAATGAGAGCAACTGAGAAAGAGAGAACAATAAAGGTAGAGAAGGAGAGAGAGCGGCAGTGGGGCTCAGTTTAGGGGAGCACACAATGCTTTAATTATACAGTACATGGAAACATGGTAACGTGAACCCATCTGAAGACATGGCTCATTAGGCCTCATTAGGCCTGTGCTGGGAACAAAGGCCTCTTGGCACACCGTGTCCAAACCTACACTACACCAGGATATGATCATTATGTGAGAATAATACGTGTGAGGAAAGACTACTGTTTCCGCTCATGCATATTTCTGTTCTGTTGCATTTTCTTTCTGCGTTTCTCTTTCTCTTCTGTGCGTATTTTGTGCACATTGTATAGACACATCTCAGAGTCCCTCTCGTGTGGGCGTGCATGCGAGCCTGTGCAGGGACGTGTGTGGTACGTGTGTGTGCAGCATCATTGTTACCGTCGTCTGTGGGGTTGAAGCCGCAGATGTCACAGATGCAGCGGACCCACTTGTTCATGTCGTCCTCCGTGTCGGCCACCAGGTAGAAGACGCGGTCGATGGTCTTGATGTCGAAGATGAAGCTGTGCTCCAGGTCCTTCTTGTTGAACGTGAGCCCTGCGTCCACCTGTGGGGGGGAAGGTTTAGTGTTAGCATGTAGCATTACCAACCACATAACAATAGGGCTTAGCATTAGCACGTAGCATTACATAAACAATAGGGGTAGCAATATCTGTTGTAGCCAAAGCTGCTATAAGCCACTGTCAATGTAATTTACTGTTATAGCTGCCTTAAGACGTTTTAGTAGTATTAGCTAGTGGTACTGTAGCATTACTAGGACCATTAGTTTTCCCTGATCACGTGACCTGACCTGGAACTAATGTATTACATAACTAGGGTCCAGAGTAACAAACTCCTGGCCATAATCAGCCTTAGCATAAGTAGTGTTTCACCTGTTCACACAGGTTGAGGTCGATCACGCGGATGGGCTTCTTGGCGTGGTCATTCTTGTAGTACTCCAGCACGTCTGGGTCGCCCGAGAGACGGCCGCTGCGGAGAACAAACCACCGCTTCTTCCATGCCTGCAAAGAGAGAGAGACATTTTAATGTTGATGCTCTAAATACATATCATCGCTTACTTAAAAACATCACAGTACACCCATAAACCCCCCCCTTGAAAATCTTAACAAACCCCTGAAGACTTCACAACAACAACAACCCATATTGGCTCAGGGGACAAGAGAAGAGCGAGCGCAAGAGAGAGAAACAGAGAGAGAGAGAGACGGACCAATAGAGAAAGGTCACTGTGTGTTTGCTCATACGGCTCCATTCCTGGCTGACCACAGGCTGGACAGGGGCTTTGTTTTTCCACCCTGGCCTCTCTGTGTGCTTCTCTCTATCCCTCCCTCACTCTCCATTGCTCTTTCCTCTGGTCCTGTAAGCCACACAAGGACTATGTTCAAAATTCACCCACTCTCACCCTCTTCTTATATACCAATCCATTCCTCTCCCTCCCGCTACAGCCTCTCCATCTCTCTCCTCTGAGCCCCACTAGGACAGACCTGTTCCCACGCCAGAAATGTGTGTCTGGGACACCCAGAGCCACCACAGACAGACAATAGTTTGGTCTGGTTAGGTCTAGCACCCCGACTGTGGAACAATAGGATTTGTATGTCTATGAGACACATGTTCCGTCTGAAATGTCACCCTATTCCCTATATAGTGCTCCTACTTTTAACCAGGGCCCATAGGGCATTATGTAGGGAATAGGGTTCCATTTGGGACACAGCCACAGAGTTTCCAAGGCAGCTAGGGTTTAAACACAGGGCACAAGACCCAGACAATGGGATATAGCATAGAAATAATTGATGACGGCCTCTCTTTTAAATTGCATATTCAACAACTTACAAAAAAATTGAAGCTGAAATTGGGATTTTATTTTAGGAATAAGGCCTGTTTTTCTTTTGAAGCCAGAAGGAGGCTAGTATCAGCTACATTTATGCCTTTACTAGACTATGGGGATATTTTATATATGAATGCTTCCGCTCAGTGTTTGAGATCAATTGACACTCTTTATCATGGTACTTTGAGATTTATTTTAAACTGCAAAACCCTTACGCACCACTGTACTTTGTATACCAGGGTTGGCTGGCCTTCTCTAGTCACTCGTAGGCTCAGTCACTGGTATACTTTTATTTACAAAGCCATTTTTGGGTTTACTACCTTTTTATTTGGGCATTTTTATTGTTCAGAAATGTGGTGGGTACTCTCTTCGTTCACTGGACTTTATCCTGCTAACTGTTCCAAATGTCCGAACTGAATTTGGTAAAAGGTCTTTTATGTACTCTGCGCCATCGTCTTGGAACACCTTACAAAATAATTTTAAACTGGAAGAACTTGTCCCGATTGGTGTTTTTAAATCTCTGATGAAGGATTTTGAGGCTGATTCCCTGACCTGTCAATGTCTTTAATTTGCTGTTTTTGATATTGTTATACTCTTGTGAATTCATGAATGGTTTTTACTAGATTACTTGTAGTTTTTCATGTTGTCTGTCTATAATTTTTTGTAATGACTTGGTGCTGCCTATCTTGGCCAGGACGCTCTTGAAAAAGAGATTTTAAATCTCAATGAGCCCTTCCTGGTTAAATAAAGGTTAAATAAAAAAATTAAAAAAATAGAATCCAATTCTATTTCTATTGTATCAGACTTAAGACCGTGGGATGGATAGGGTTGAGAATGCGGAGTGGTTTAGTTTTAGTTACACAAAAGGCACTAAGAATAAATCACTTGTGTCAATCATCGTCAGGCACTACCATCAGAAAGTCAGTCAGAGGGAGCGAGATAGAACCAAGTCAGATGTCTAAACAGGAGTCTGGTGTCTAATGCTTTTATTTTGACGAATGAGGCCCGGCCCATCTAGATGTCTTTTCACCTAAACTGTGTAGCTTAAACTTATAAGGTGGTTAACTCGTTCAATGAAACCTGCTCCCTGAACGGATGCTAGGAGAAGCTAACTCAAGGATAAGCAGGGCTAAAAAGCACATGATGAAAACAAACTGTGGCTAATCGCTATGAGCCACCAACTCTGATTCGCTGAGTCACTTATGCTAAACGTGAGTTTTTTGGAAGGATTTGTTCCAGATTGCAGAGTTAATTGTGCTTAATCGATCCGCTTCAGGTTGATCAATATTGTGGCGCAAAATAGACTCTGCCTATCAATGGACACTTGATAGAGGTATTGAATATTGAACAGGTGAAATTTGATACAAAAGATGACATAACAGAAAGGAATTGCTATTCGTGGAATTTCTCAACTGCCACTTTTGGATTTCAAACAAGGAGGGAAAACCAAACCAGTAGAAAAACAACTCCCCTTGAAATGAGATCAGAGCCCTAGCCTCACCCAAGCACAGCCAGCAATGGCCTGTGAGGAATGCAAACTAAAAGCTTTGTTGTTTTTTTTCGGGGTAAGATTTTAACCGGATTAACAATGCTCTGTGTTTTTTCCCCCCTCCCTTCAGTTGTTTTTCTATCCACAGAGTTCCCTTTGTTAGCGGGCCAAGCACTGAGTAGGGAAGAACAGCCAGGAGGAGAGGAGAGAGAGAGAGCATCGTCCTGCTGTCCTCTTCTGTCAACAAACAGGAGAGCCGACCCTGGAGAAATAAACAGGCTGGCTGAAGGAGGAATTTTACAGGGGCGCGCACACACGCGGGCGCAGCCTTGCACGGCAGAAACGCACGCAGATATACACTCTCACACGCGCAGAGAAATGCACATTCATACATACGCACATGCCCCTTGAAATTCTAACAGGCCTACATTCATGGCCCTAACACTCCCTACAGTCATCAAGTAAAAATGCTGGCGCAGGGTTCAAGAGGTCTGCTTGACATTGAGGGAGGAGGAGGGTTCCCACACAGTATGTTCCACAAGAAGCCATGCCCTAAAATCCCGTAATCACATTTAATATCACTGTTTATTTAACCATAAAACATGAACAACCACCAAAAACAGCATCCAGATAACAATACACAGAGCAATTAACTCAGTCTGTGTATAACTGGTCCTGTCCAGCCTGAACAGCAGCCTAATCTAACCCAAGCAGCACACATTAGCATGTTGTTGTGGTGCTGCTCTGTTGCGGTCAGACAAAGAGGAGGGCGACCCCTCTCTCTGTTACATGACAAAGCACTCTGGCCTCAGGTTACCCTGTGGGCCATGGGGTGAGGTTACACTGGGGGGGGGGGGAGAGGTTAGGCCAGGCCTGGGTCGTATTCATTTTTGCTAAGCATTTCTTATTGGACAAGCCCAGGTAGAACACGACCCTGGTTTAAAACAGACACAGGAACATGGAGACATTTTAGTCATTTAGCAGACACTCTTATCCAGAGCGACTTACAGGAGCAATTAGGGTTAAGTGCCTTGCTCAAGGGCACAGACAGACTTTTCACCTGGTTGGCTTGGGGATTCGACCCCAATACCTTTCAGTTACTGGCCCAACGCTCTTAGCCGCTAGGCTACCTGCCACCCTGCTGCTGTCCATAACAACAGCTGGTCTGACTAGAAAGATGACATTGACATTCATAGTTTCAATGGTGCTGGTTAGCTGGTTAAGAGCTTGTTGAATGCGGCTTGTTTGAGTGGTGCTTCATTGCAGCTTCAATACGGAGTGAGTTTTGGAAGCCTACCTGATTCAGGGGTGCTTTCCCATATTAGCATGGTAGCAGACAGCGTGTAGGGGTCGGAGGAAAACGGTCAGGGACGGAAAGCTGTGTGATAACATGAGCAATGAGAATCACTCTCAATCTCTCTCTTTCTCCACTGCCACACACACCCCATGTGCCCATTCCATTCATCACAACTCAAGTTAAAACTTAGCCGCAAGTAGAGCTAAACTGGTCCATTTAAATCCCTGCCAGGTTCCTATCCAATGAAACTGCACACAACCAGAAATGCCATTGTGTCTCCAGTCAGCCAGCCAATGGCATCTCGCTGACACAGATACTTTCTATTGTCAGTGGAAAACAGTACAAAAAGCTCTTCACAATGACCACACATGACACTGACTGTCTGATGCACACAGCAGCTGAATAGCAGCACTGTTAGACAATAACCATCTGTCCTCAGACCTAGCCTGGTTCCAGATCAGTTTTTGCGGTCTTGTCAACTCTTATGGCCATTGTTTTGACAATTACCATAAGAGATGGCAAGACTGCACAAACAGATCTGGAACCAGGCTACCACAGACCTACCTTGTGCTATTGATCCTGAAAAGGCCAGCAGAGGTAATGAGGACTCTAGCAGTGCTGAACCCCTGTTACTGTCCTCTCCTCCATTGTAGTCAAAGAGGCACAGAACAGTCAATAATCCAATAGTCGTTACTGATCACAGAACACAGCTAATCCAGGTTGGTCTACTTCACAAGGCCCAAGATGATAGAGTAGATCTCAACTGATCACAAATCAATCCTTACATACAACCAACCAAACAATACAAGCAGTAACCAAGTGTGTTGACTCTTCACTCCGGGGGAGTGGAGTGGGACGAGATGAGGAGCCCCTGGTGCAGCAGTTGTCGTCCCCCCCCCCCCTCCACCCTCCCATGCCCTCTGATAGGGCGTGAGGCAGGAAGAGACCCCGGTGCCTGCTCCAGCCTCCAGCCAGACAGAGACACCATTGAGGGGATGACTGGGAGGGATGGACGGGGGAATGCCATCCGAGTTGAGTCACACTGTTGCCATCAGGCCCCCACTGACCCAGAGACAAAGAGGAGAGGAGATGGGGGGGGGGGAAGAAAGGGAGAGAGATGGAGTGAGAGAGAGATGGATGAACAGTATAGAGAGAAGAGACAAAGGTAAAGGAGGAAGAAGATGAGAGTGAGTGAGAAAGGAGGAAGTAAAGAGCGCTAGCTAATACAGTAGACTTGAAGAACTCTACCACATTGGGGGCTTCCCCCCCATTGAAGACTGGTTATGGGGTGTGGTGGGTGAATCAGAGTGACAGGGACAGACATTAGGGAGGGGGGTGACAGTGGGTGGGGCACAGGGCCCTCAACCACCACATTCCTGGCTACGGCCTTGGC